TTGGGAGGCTGAGGCAGGAGAATTGCTTGAACTTGGGAGGCAGAGGTTGCAGTGAGCCGAGATCATGCCATTGCACTCCAGCTTGGGTGACAGAGCAAGATTCTGTCTCAGAAAAATAATAAAATACGAATGCATTCCTTCCACCACAGATGATTTTGAAAAGCAGGTTAGCAACCCCAGGGTAAGATAAAGCCATCAAATGATTGGGTTTCTTTCCCCGCCAGCCCAGAACTGCTGAACACTTGCACTGCTGTAGCCAGACCGCTTCATCCAGGCAAAGTCACACCTGATGAAACCACTGAACTCGGTAACACCCCCAATTCTAGGTGGAGGCGCCACCGGGGCCCAGACAGGGAGTATCAGCCAGCAGCAACAGGTGCCTCCCTCCCGTGTGCTTCACGGGTGCCATTCTGGCACCTAAGGTGGGCGCTGAGTGCTTTAATTGGTCATGTCTAATAAAATGTTGTTTCTGTACAGCTGCTAATGAGCTGATGCAAAGTTAGACTCCATTCGTTTATTCCAAATAGAGTAAGCGCCTGGAAAGCTGGAAAACCCCAATACCTCCGAATTGTGAACGTGCCTGTTTCCCATGCCCAGGTCTGGGCGTGTGCCTGCCGCTTTGTTTCTTGGCATCTCAACGGGTTCTAAGGGTTTTGGCACCGTCACCCTGCCCAGTCCTCACCCCTGGGGCAGGTCTCACCACTGTGCCTCCCTCTCAGATGGGAAACAGAACCTCAAGGTCGTGCTGTGAGCAGGCCTCACTCAAGCCTACCTTGGGGACATCCTGGAGGCATGAGGCCATCGGCACCAGAGCCGCAGATTCAGTCCTAACCTACTACGTGTTTGCGAGTCATACAGGAACTCCCGGAATCACAGATCTGGAGACCATCATCTTTGGAACAGATTCCCAAACTGAAATCTTGCTGAGAAACACAAGTCCACTGATCCAACTAAATGCTAAACGGGTGTGTTTTCTGTTTGGGATTCAAGCGTCCAGAACGGGGGGTTGCAAAATGAAAAGGACACCCACCCTTCTCCTGACCTTCATAGGGTGTTCTTTCAAAATCTCAGAATTACAGGAAACACGGGCTAACACATCAGTTTGCAGAGATATTTGAATAAAAAAGGACACGGCCATTTCTGAAACCCTCTCTCTTCACTCCATGGAGCGGTCTTCGCTTCGTTTAGCCTTTTTATTCCACTCAGAAATTAAAAGGGGAGGTGGGCACGGTGGCTCACACCTGTAATCCCAGTACTTTTGGGGGCTGAGGCAGGCGGATCACCTGAGGCCACACGTTTAAGACCATCCCGGCCAACGTGGCAAAACCCATGTCTGCTAAAAATACAAACATTAGCCGGGAACGGTGGTGTGCACCAGCAATCCCAGCTACTTGGGAGGCTGAGGCAGGAGAATTGCTTGAACTCGGGAAGTGGAGGCTGCAGTGAGCCAAGACTGCTCTAGTGCACTCCAGCCTGGGCGGCAGAGTGAGACCCTGTCTCCAAAAAAAGAAAAGAAAAGAAAAGAAACAAAAGAAAACTAAGTTTCACGTCACTGGACTCATCGCTGAATGTTGCTGCTCGGTTGGTCTGAAAGCAGCCACTTCTCGAATGGACATTTTCAATTATGTTTCTGTATTTTTCATCAGTAACCTTTTATCTTTCAATGACAGTCAATATTAGAGTGGTTTCTACTACAGAGTAAAATATCTTGACAATGAAAAAAAATCTCCTACATTTAGTACATAAAATACCAGAAGGCTCAAAGATTTTGCAAATAAAGTGATGTGTCCCCCACGCTCCCCAGCAGCTATGCCTTGGAATAAACCTGGTTGTGACTTGTGGATATGGACTGTGGGTTCCGTGCTGTTCACCACCCTGCTTTAAACAGATCTTTTCATTAATTTTGAGGGAGGGGGGATCCAGGGGGCAATGCCTTTTCCATGTTACATGAGCAGACAAGGTGCTAAAAATTAAATGTACCGCCTGATTTTCCTAAGCAAATATATCTCCAGCTGGGAAAACCTGCTGTCTGAACCTTCAGATTCTGAGTGACAGATAAAACAAGGGGGACTCTTCCCTGAAGAAAGTGTCTCCCCTCATATGGGGACGTGGGTGAAGAATATCAGACACTAACCACCAGAGCCTTTCCCATCCCCACTTCTGTTCCGGTAGGACTGCAGACACACTGACGGATGTCAGGTGACACACCCCGGAGGACAAGGAGCCTTAAAACCTGGCCTCTCCCAATCCTTTGCATTAGATGAAATGGACCCTGGCCCTGCCCTGGGAAGAGAGAGGGGCTGTTGCATGTGACTCACCTCTAGGTCTTAATAATCACAGACTTGCAAAGAGCTTGATTTCGCTTGATTTAGTCCACCTGAGACTCCTTCTGCAGGGAGGGCACACATCTACTTACTGCCACAGTGGCTCCAGGCCTGTATCCATGGGATGCAGTCATGTCATCAGACCCAAATCCGCGGAGGTGCTGGGAGACAGACCACAAACACAGGGGCGGGTATCCCTCCTGGGCAGCTCCTCTCTGCCCCCGACTGCGGCCCCGCCCACACAGGAAAAGCCGTTGGCAGGTGCAGACGAACTTTGGATCTTGGCCTCTTCTCTCAAACAGGGCAGTGTAGGGGTGAAGCCGCAAACCTTTCAGGCCACGTGGCCCATGGGTAATTCCGGTTTGTGAAAAGAAGGAAGGCGCAAACGGATGCATCTTTAGCTGAGTCTGAAGGTCCCAGTGACTCCTGAAAGCAGGACAAGAGGAGCTTCGAGGGCAGCTGCCATCAGCAGAACACAGGTTGGAGGGAGCCCCCAATGCTCCAGGGAGGCCTCTTGTGGGTCATCTGTTTGAACTCCATCAGGAGGGCCGTGTGGTCAGGGTTTAAGCCACTGCTTGTCAGAGCGGAGCCTGACCCCAGGGGCATCAGTAACAAGTTCTGAACTGGGACATCCTAAGTAGTCCACCCCACCGGGGTGACCCCCGCGACGACACGGCGCCTCCTTACAAAAACTGAAAATGGACCAGAATGTTCCGTAGAGAAATGCAGGTTCCCGGGAGGCTCTTAGTGATTAACACACCGTGACCGTAGGCCAGTTGCCAACTGCTCTGCACATGGATAGGGGATGCTCCACACACACGTGCAGGCGGAACACGTGAACTAGACGGTGACTGCGTGTTATGGATGCCGTGTCCCTGAAGCTCGGGAGGTCCTTCTGGGGCAGCAGCAGCTGTGACCTGCCCTGCTATGTGGAGCATTGGCAGAGGACATGGCAACATGAGGGAAGGTGTAAAGGGTCCCGGGCTTGGGCAAGAGCTAAGGGATGGGCATGGGGGCAAGGGTGGGACAGGCTCAGAGCTCCATGCCCTGCAGCTGCGGCTCCTCCCTGGGCAGGCCCAGGACAATGGGGCTTCCAGCCGACACCCCCCACAGGCAGACTCCGCTTTCCATCTCTGCAGAAGACACACTGCATAAGCTGATTTCACGGGTAGTGCCTGATTTATGAAAAACAGTTCTCATGAACACAACAAGCTGATTTTTTGAGGGTTAAGTGCACTGTTTAGAAATCTACATAAGGCTGGGTGTGGTGGCTCACACCTGTAATCCCAGTGCTTTGGGAGGCAGAGGCGAGCGGATCACTTGAGGTTAGGAGTTCAAGATGAGCCTGGCTAACATGAGAAAACCCCGTCTCTACTAAAAATACAAAAATTAGCTGGGTGTGGTGACGCATGCCTGTAATCTCAGCTATTTGGGAGGCTGAGGCAGGAGGATTGCTTGAACCTGGGAATCAGAGGTTGCAGTGAGCCAAGACTGTGCCACTGCACTCCAGCCTGGGTGACAGAGCGAGACTGTGCCTCAAAAAAAAAAAAAAAAAAAAAGAAAGAAATATAAATAAAAGTTAGAGCATGGATAACGTGGAGCTGTTCCTCCTGGAAGCACTTAAGTGAAGCAATATGGCACAACAAAGACCAAACACACAGGACCGGGCTGGATGGGAACAGGGACCACAGGGCCCCTCATCACAGCTTCTGACCCAGCAGATGTTGACCGTGGACAGAAGGCGGCACATGCCTGCCTTTGGACGCAGAAGTGAGTTCTTGCTAGAACCCCGGGATGCACAGTGCGTAGACAAGTCGCTCGCATGTTAGAATTCAGCAAGACTCAGCTACAAAGTAAACCCTGCACGGCAGCTAAGCTGCGAGGCTGACCTGGGACCCTCCAGTGGCTGACCAAAGTTTGCTGGACAATTACAGCGTAAACATCATGGCCCATCAGTGCCCAGCACTGCTTCCGTCTCTGCAGTAGCCAGAGGCACTTTGGTGGCGTCAGAGCAGAAGGCACAGGACACCAGGGCAACGTCGCAGGGCGCCAACACTGAGGCCGAGGCCACCGCCTTTAACCATGGCACGGTGCAGGAGAGGGCCCTGCGCATTCTGCTCTGGGAGGCGGCTCACAGAAAGCCATCCCAAGGGCTGGCCTTGGCATCTGGGCAGATCTCTGACTGGGCTCCTGTTTCTGGGGGGGGTGTGTGGAAAACGCTTATCCCCAGGATTGGGCTTTGCACGTCATCTCCGTCCTAGGTTTCTGCGGACCAAAGTTCTAGGCAGCGCTTACTGACAAATGTAAGAAAAGGAAATTTATTTTTTTTTTTGAGTTTCACTCTTGTCACCCAGGCTGGAGTGCAGTGGCAAGATCTCAGCTCACTGCAACCTTTGTCTTCTGGGTTCAAGTGATTCTCCTGCGTCAGCCTCCCGAGTAGCTGGAATTATAGGCACCCGCCACCATGCCTGGCTAATTTTTGTATTTTTAGTAGAGACAAGGTTTTGTCACGTTGGCCAGGCTGGTCTCAAACTCCTGACCTCAGGTGGTCCACCCGCATCAGCCTCCCAAAGTGCTGGGATTACAGGCGTGAGCCACCGCACCCAGCCAGAGAAAAGGAAATTTTAAATGCACATGTTATCTTTTAGAACCATGATTAAGAAAGAACAGAAACTCCATACAAAACGAGGTTTATTTAGATGTTAGAATCATCTAGTGATTGAACAAGATTGGACACGAACCCACCCAGGCCCAGGGCTGGGCTGCAGAGTCCCTGCCACTGACATCCTCGTGGATTTCACATGCAACGGGGGCGGTCACGGGCTCGATGGCCATTGTGCTTCAAAACTTTTTTCCAACCGACGGCTATGACTACAGTTTTCAGATGTGTTCTGGCCTCCAAGGACCGGGGGCCCGGTGAGGGTTGGTGTCCTCTGTATAAAAAGTGCCGTCCTGGGAGCTTCCCAACGGACACCTTGGGGCATCTGAGCGACTCCCGGGAGGGCAGCTCGGCCTCCCTCGGGCTACCACGGCAGCCACCGCCGGACATTCTCACCAGCCACCGACAAAAAGCATCAGAGTCTCTGTGAACCTGGCTGTGACGGTAAGAACCCAGTGTTTTCTAATCTAAGACTTGTATGCGAACACAGAAAACTGCAGTTAGGAACACCCTACAAAATTGAACGACAGGATTTTCCAAAAATATTTTTTACATCACTTTAAATAATTTACAAAAAGCTACAAAACTCATATTTACCAGGACACGTCTGTTAAATAAAAGCATCGTTTCGCGTTGGCGTACGTATATACGGGGGTATGCATAACAGCCTCCTGCTCCCCTCCCGGCAACCACAGACCATCACACACACGCACGACACGCGCACGGACCCCAGGATGGAACCACAGCTGGAGGGCTTACACCTTCACCACTGAGCTGCCGCCACTGTCCTCCCCAGAGGTGTCGCTGAAGTCACTGGCATCACTGCCCAAGGCGTCCTGGTCCTGGTCGTCCCTATCCATGACCCTCCGTCTATACCTCAGGTCCAAAACACTTTCCTCCGAGCCCGAGCTCCTCCTGTCATGCAAACTCAGCCCCGGCTGCGCCTTCCTGCTAGGCCAGGACCCGCCGTCCTTCTTCGCCAGCAGGTGTGGGCTTCCAAAGACAGGGCTGGGCCCGGCCTGGGCCTCCCTGAAGGCCGAGAAGGACGGGCCCTGCAGAGGCAGCCCCAAGTGGGGGCTAAAGAGGCCAGCCTGCCTGCCCCCCCAGGAGACGCCCTTTCCAAAGTGGAAGAGCTGGGTGGACAGCAGCGGGGAAAAGCCGGCAAGGGGCAGGCTGGGCAGGCCCCGGGCGGGGCCCTCGGACCCCTTCTCTCTCTCGATCCCAACACCCACACTCCATGCCGTATCTCTACCATCGGATCGCAGCGCCCAAGGGCTGGGCAGCCGACTCTGGTGGGCAAAGTCGCTCCAGGGCAGGGTGCGGTCAGCCTGGGCTCGAGCGTCCCTCTCAGCTCCCGGGCTGGGGGTCAGGAAGCCCCGGCCCCCGTAGCCCATGTGAAAGGTCCCCCGGGCACCTGCTGCCTCGGTGCCCGCTGTGGCACAGCTGGGCAGCTGACCAAAAGCACTTTTGGCAGCAGGCTCCGTCCCTTGTGGGCTCTGGTCTCTGTGAATGTAAACATTTTTCCTGCTCAGTGACAGCCCCTTGGCAGAGATGCTGGTGCTCCTGGGCAGTGCCGGATCCCCTCGGCCGGGAGCAGCAGGGAGCCCCTTCCCGCCCTGGCTGAACAGACCAGCCGCACCCTGCGCTCCTAAGCTCTCTGTGCCTCGAGACCCTTCTGCCGGCTGTGGGGTCCCCCTGGCCCTCTGGCTCCGGGTACACATGCCAGGCGGCAGGGCGGGCTCCTTCCTGCCCAGCACCTCTGGCCTGGCTGGGCCCCCTGTCCCGAGGGCAGCTGGGCCCTCTGCCTGAACTTCTGAACTGCTCACCGACTCCTTGGCCTTTTCCGCCAAGAACTTCCGAATCTCCAGTTCAATGCTATCGTCGCTGTCCACTGAACTGCTGTCGTCAGACAGGGAGCCTGGGCTGGGAGCTGAGCCCTGGGACTCCCTGGGGAATGGGTTCCCTTCGGAGGCAGAGGCGCAGGTGGAGGCAGACGCCGGTCTCCGCACCCGGAAGGCAGGGACCGTGTCCTGGTTCCCGGCACACTCCTGCTTCATCCTCTCTGCCGAGCCGCCGAAGACGCTGGGGGATTTCTTCCCAGAGCCCTCGCCGCCGTCTCTCTTGGACTTGGAGAGGCAGCTCTTGAGCACCGGCGGCCTCCTGTCCTCCCGGTCTCGCCGGAGCCCGCCCAGCTGCTCCAAGAAGTGCGTCTGCGAGGTGCTGAACCTGACCTTCTTCCTGCAGGCTGCCCTGGGCTCCCTGCACCGCTTCTTCAGCTTCCGCTTGGACCTTAACAAGTCCTTGATGGCCGTGTCCAGGTCCTCGTCACTGTCCAGGGAGCTGCTTTTGTCGTCGGAGCTCTCCTTCTCGTCCAGGCGCCTGGCCTCGTCTGTCTTCCCCTGGCCCTGTGACAGGCGAGCGGCGCCCTCCTCTCCAGGGGCCTCGCTGGCTTTGCCCTGGACGGGCAGGTCCCGCCCCTCATGGCCGGGCTCGGCTCTCCCCTGGCTGTGGTCGGCATCCCGGCCCCCGTCTTTCACCACCTCCCGTGTTTTCTTGGGCACGGATGGCCTCACGTGGCCGCCGCCTCTACGCTTCCTTTTGCAGCCCAGCAGTGAGTCCGGTGTTTTAGAGAGAGGGACCTTGGGGCCGCTGGTCTGGCTGTTGGGGCCAGGCGGCGAAAGTGGGCCCTGGGCAGCCTGTGGGCAGCTCTCACCTCTGGCCAGCAAACTCCCTGACTGTGCCTTGAGGGCCAAAAACGTCCGGATTTCCTGCTCGATGCTGTCGTCGCTGTCCACGGAGCTACTGTCACCGTCGGAGCGGGAAGGCACGTTGGCGGAGTGGAAGAGTGGGCTCGCGGACAGGGACCCGTCGCTGCCCTTCGCGGGGGCCGGCAAAATCGTCTTGGAAATGTCCAGGATCGCTTCCGCGCACATCAGCTCAGCGGACGTGTCTGCCCGGCACAAGGACCGTTCCACAAACTCGCTCCTGGAAGCCGGGCTCACAGGAGGCGGAGCTTTGGTTTCCTTCGGGAGCCTGGGGAAGCGGTCAGTGTCCAGGCCCCCGGGGCCAGGGTCTGTGGCCTTGGCGGCCACTGGCTTCTTCTTGCCGGGTGTTTTCCTGTGGCTCTCGGGCAAGGCACTTTTCGTGGCACTGCTTGTGCTGTGTGCCGGAGGGTCAGGCTGCCTCTCCTCGCGGGGCTGGGCCCTCTGGGACGGGTCCCCGTCCGCCTCCTTGCGTGTTTTCTGCAGCTGGTACAGCTGGATGGCCTCCTCGATGCCGTCGTCGCTGCTGGAGTCGGACGCCTCGGGCGCCTGTGCCGCGCTCGGGACTCGCCCTCCCCTCCTTGCGGTGCTGGTGCTCCTCTTGGTCCCGATTTGATTCTGTGCTGCTTCTGAAGGGCGGCCGGGGGCTGCTGGCTTTGCGCTGCCCTCGTTCTCCTGCGTGGTTGTGACCGTGGACCTGAGGTTTCTGGGCTGCATGTTCATCTTTGCTAACCGCGGAGGTCTGCGGAAGGTGAACTCCTTCTGGGTGCCCATCAGACCCTGCCGATGCAACCCTCTCGCGGCCGGCTCTTGGTGGGATTTCAAGAGTGACTTGGCCGCCGAATTTTCGTTGGGGTCAGGTTTCTTGTCCACTGACCCGTCACATTTTTGGGTCTCATGCTGTCTCTTCTCGTTTAGAAACTGTTCTATTTCTGCCCTGATGCTCTGCTCAAAGGAGTCATCACTGCTCACGCTGACCGGGGAGGCGGAGCCCTGGTCCTGGCTGGATGCCCCCTGGATGCCAGGGCCACCGCCTGAGCCAGGCGCAAGTTTTGGGGGACCCAGGGCAGTTGGGGCACTGCTGTGAGCCGGTTCTGGCTTACATCTACTGCTTCCACCTGAGGCCCTGGAAGGCTGCTGGGCTGCGCCTGGCTGCACCCCCCCGGCCCCGGGCTGTGGGGCACCACTCTTTGCCTTCAGGTACTCCTGGATGGCCTCCTCAATGTCCCGGTCCACGGAATCATCGCTGTCTGAATCTAGCACCAATGGGCCAAAGTCTGCAGCTGCCTCCTCCCCCATGGGGTCAATGCCAGCCACAAGGCCACAGGCAGCCAAGGCAGGCGGCTCCTTGTGCACGGGGGGCTTGGCCGCCGGCCTGGCGTCGTGGCATCCCTCCGCCCTGTGGCCCCTCTGCACGGCACGTTCATCGCTGGTGCCCCGAGCAGCCCCGTCACGCTGCAGCGTGGTGATGAGCATCTGCACCCGGGCGCTCACCGCCGCGCTCTCCACGCCCTCGTCAGCCTCCGAGAAGCACCTGGGGAACCTAAAGCTCCCTGGCGGGCCAAAGCCCTCCCATTTGGACTGGAGAGCAACCACTGGAGGAGCGTTCATGAGAAACATTCTAGCAGGCGGGGAGGGACGCGCAGAGGGGCAACGCTTTATTTCTCTGCCGGCTTCACATCCTGGGAGGAAAGAAAGCACATGGGCGTGATGCAGCAAAGAACAGCTGGCTACCCCAGCCAACAGTAGGAGAGGCCCCAGAGGAGCAGCGCATCGGGCCCACAGAGTTGAGAGTGGGCCAGCGCCCGACGTCCAGCTAGCTGGGTGTCCTTGTGTGAGTGACTCATGCTCCCGGGGCCTCGGGTTCCTCAGCTGGAAAGGATCAATCTACTCGCTCCAGCCCAGGGCTGCTGGGAAGATTCAGTAAGAAAATGTTTCCAACCACCCGCCACGGTGCCGCCCGGGGCACACACGCAGCACCTCCCCACTCTTCCCTTCTCACTCCGCGCGTCCAGCTTCTCTGTAAGACGGGAGAGGCTTTATTTACCTCCAAAGGTTGGCAAGCGCTACCCATGAGAGAACGTCTGCAAATGCTTCTTTGCAGGTTAAAAAGATGGCTATAAATCCGGGATCAGCAGGGTGGCGTGTGCAGATTCACTCTTGACCCAACCAGCAAGCTCCTGGAACAAAAAGTTATGATGTGAGCCACTCAGAAATTACTTCCCCAAACATCTTGAATCGTTGCTTTGACTAAACCCTCTTTGTGTTAAACATCAGATGTACATTTGCCAGACGGTCTCATGGGACCGTTCTTCCCAGCTAACCAGCACAGAGGTCACCCTGAGCGCCATGGCATGCCCCTTCTCATCCTGCGCTTCCAGATTTCAGACCAAAGGTGGCTGCCTCAGCAGAACTGCTGGGCTGGGCTTGGGACACTCTGAAGACCTGCTCACGAAAGGCCTGGGGATTGCCACTGCAGGGAGGAACTCCAGGTGGACGGCGGTCACTTAGGGACATCACACAGCTATTCATTCTTAACACGTTGCTCTGACCCCCACCTGCCTACCCCAAAATTGGAGTGCAAAGCAGTTCCCATGCAAGTGAGCCCCCAAGGCTGATGGACCAGAACTCCCCTTGGCTCAGAGGCCGTGGCCGCCCTCAGGACCTTGGTGGTGGGACAAAACCAGCCCGTGTGTTTTGCATCTGTTGTGGATTCTTCTCTACCAGGAGCTTTCTCTGATTAACCAGGCACTTCCTTCCCGACAAGCACGTAATCATCTGTTTACCTGCCATCTTTTCTCAAAGAGGTGAGGCTGCGGCTGGGTGCAGGGGCTCACGCTTATAATCTGGGGAGATTCCCACTTTGGGAGGCTGAAGCAGGTAGATCACCTGAGGTCAGGAGTTTGAGACCAGTCTGACCAATAAGATAAAACCCCAACTCTACTAAAAATACAAAAATTAGTCAGGTGTGGTGGCAGGTCCCTGTAATCCCAGCTAATCAGGGGGCTGAGGCAGGAAGGAGAATTGCGTGAACCTGGGAGGTGGAGGTTGCAGTGAGCCGAGATTGTGCCATTGTACTCCAGCCTGGGCAAGGGAGTGAGAATCCATCACAAAAAAAAAAAAAAAAAAGGTGAGGCTGGCCACCTAGACACAGGTGAGACCGAGAAGGGTAACCGGCGATTAAGCAGGGGGCGAGGCAGATTCAGAAGCCAGTCATTTGCTAGTGCCAATTTGTGCTCTAAAAGGGAAACTAAAATACAATTATTACTTGAAATTCTCTGAGTCCAGATTGACGGGGATGAAGTGGCGGCCAGTGTCCCCACACGCCCAGGGTCGGGTCTTCATCTCTTCACGTACACGCCGAGGCACCCTCTCTCTGCTTTTTAAACAGACTTTTGACTACGAGAATCAAAGAGAAGGCATCTAATCAGAGGCTGAAGCTACAGTTCATACATAATTTTTTTGGAAAGAAGTATCATTAACTTAAGGGCTCAAAATTAACTTTTGAAAGAACTTACCCTAAGACATTTAAAACCACAATGCAAATACATTTAATTTAATGCATTAAGACAAACGCATTCAAGCACAAGGAATGTATAACTATCCTGGAAAAAAGTCTGATGCTGGCTGAGGTGATGGTGATGGGGCAGGGATGGGAAGTGTCTACCAGTTCTCAGATTCTGGCCACCCACTGCTGCCCATGACATCCGGCACAAAGTCACCTTCTGGAGAGATTCCCAATGACACAGAGCACTGGGGACCAACCATGGGGCGGGGCCCTTTCACTGGCTAGCAGACCCATGCCTGCCGTACTGCAGGCTGTTATTCAAATTGCCTCTGCAAAATGACGTAAATTACAAAACATGTGCATTCTCTTTGGGCTGATAAGAGTCTCAATCATGACTATTAACTCCTTTTTTTTTTTTAAGATGGAGTTTTGCTCTTATTGCCCAGGCTGGAGTGTAATGGCACGATCTTGGCTCACTGCACCCTCTGCCTCTGCTGGGATTACAGGCCTAAGCCTCTGCACTGGGCCCTATTAACTCCTTAAACAGCAATACGACTTTAAGAAAACTGGCCCGGGCAGTGTCTTTGCACTGGATGGCAAGGTGAGGAGGGGAGTTTTCTGGGGAAATACTCTGTTCTCCACTAGCCTCCTTTACAGCTTCTGCCTGATTGCAAAGAGGGCCCGGACTCCTAGGGAACAGTTTTCTAAATTGTCAAATCACCTAGTCCAAGAGAAAAAAAAAAATCTGGCCAGGCATAGTGGCTGACGCCTGTAATCCCAGCACTTTGTGAGGCTGAGGCAGGTAGATCACCTGAGGTCAGGAGTTTGAGACCAGTCTGACCAACATAGAGAAACCCCTTTTCTACTAAAAATACAAAAATTAGCCGGGTGTGCTGGTGCGCGCCTGTAGTCCCAACTACTTGGGAGGCTGAGCCAGGAGAATTGCTTGAACCCAGGAAGTGGAGGTTGCAGTGAGTTGAGATTGAGCCACTGCACTCCAGCATGGTAGACAGAATGAGACTCCATCTTAAAAAAATAAATAAAATTGAGAGGGGATCGCCCTAGGACGGCCTGTGGCTTTAAAACATTATGCGATATGAATCATTCTCGAAAAGCCCCCTAGGGCCAGGGACAGTGGTTCATGCCTGTAATCCTCGCACTTTGGGAGGCCAAGGCAGATGGATCACTCGAGGCCAGGAGTTCAAGACCAGCCTGGCCAACATGGTGAAATCCCATCTCTACTAAAAATACATAAATTAGGTAGGTGTGGTAGCCCACACCTGTAATCCCAGCTACTGGGGGGCTGAGGCATGAGAATTGGCTGAACCGAGAGGCAGAGATCCCACCACTGCACTCCAGCGAGGGCGACGGAGCATGACTGTCTAAGTCACCTAAACTGTACTTAGAGATACGTCTGGGCCCAGCCAGAGGTGCAGGCTTCGTCAAGCTGCTGCCCCAGAATAAAGTCTTGAGGGTGGCCGTGGGGACACCCAGCACCTGCCCCCCAAAGCCACACGGTGTCAGATTTTAGGAAGCAGCGGAAAACATTCCGGCATCTTCTCGGTCTGGACCCCAACCTGCCAGAGAGAATCAAAGCATCCACACTGGGGCCCTCATCCTAACAGTCTGACACCTGTGAGAAACGCCCCCAAAATGCTCTACGTTTCTCGGTTGGTCGAAAGGCAGCTCAGCTCGCCTTCTGGCCTCCCAGGTGGGGTTTTACCCCAGGGTAGGGGGGCCAGGGTCGGCAGGCCGGGAGGGGAGCCCCGGTACAGGAGCAGGCGGGGCGGCAGGAGGGCCCGCGCCAGCCACCCTGAAGTGGGCGTGGGCTGGAACTCAGCTCCCAGCCTTGCAGAAGCTGCAATTTTACAACCTCACAACCGGCGTCCCCCAGCAAAGCTGCACCGCCATTTCCCAAGCTTGGGAACTGCAGGCAAGGTGAGCCCCTCCCGGCTGCCCCCGCCGGACCTCCCCCGACTCCCGGGCTCGGGCGGCTCACGGCCTGCCGGCTGGGCAGGGTCCCCCACCGCCGCTCCCCTCCCCGGGGGCGCGCGTATCACCCCCGCCGCTACGCTCGGCGACCCGGACCTCGCCCCGCGGGAGCGGACGCCTCCCAGGGAACAGGCCGGGCATCCAGGCAGGTCTGTGCCTCGGAGTTACGGCTCTGGGATCCGAGGACTCTGGAGCTCGGGGCCCGGGAGAGCGGCCACCCTCCCGGAAGCTCCGCCTGGCGCAGGGCGTGAACCGCAGTCCCCGGGCCGGCCGGGCCGCGGCCATTCTCGGAGGGCAGCGGCCGCCCCGGGCCGGGCCCAGGCTCCCCTGCCACGGGCCTCACCTGCGCCTCACCTGGGGCTCCAGGGGCGCGGGGCGCGCGGACGGAGAGGCGCTCGGAGGCCGGAGCCAGGACCTCCGCCCGGGAACGGAGCAGCCCCGGCGCCGATCCCTGCCCGCCCGCCGCGGCCTGCACCGCTCTCCTGTCCCCGGCCTCCCGGCCGCCCAGACCTCCCAAACCCTCGGCCCCGCGCCCGCTCACCTCCGCCCGGCCCCCGCCGCCCGCCGCGCGACCCCGCCTGCGCCCGCGTCCCGCGTCCCGCGTCCCGGGGGAGGCGGCGGGCGGGGGGCGGGTCGGAGGCTGCGGGGCCGGCGCGCTCCGCCCTCGGCCGGGACGCGGGGAGGGGGCGCAGGGGCGTCCGGCCGGGCCCCCAGGCTCCCCGCCTCCCCGCGCGCCGTCGCCGCCCCCGCCCCCGCCCCCGCCCCGCGCCAGGCCGCACTGTGGGAAGCGCGGGAGGGCAGGGGAGGGGCGGGGCGTGGGGCGGGGCGACCCCCCCAGGCCGCCCCCTCCCCGCGACCTACCGGGCGGCGGCGGCGGCGGCGGCCGCGCTCCGGAAGCCGTGCCCGTGGCTGGGCATCATGGGAATGGCACGGCCGAGTTCCGGGGGAGGCGCGCGGCCCGGCCGGACCCCCGCCCGCGAGAGCGCGCCCACCTGCCGCCGCGCCCGCGCCCCGGGGACGCCCCCACCCGCCCGCTTGGTTCGGACGCGGCCCCCTCCGCGGGGGCGCGGGGCGAAGGCGCTGGGGCCGGGCCGGGCTCGGAGCTGCCCGCCTCCCAAGTCTCGGCCGCCTCCGGGGCTGGCGCCGAGGGGGCGCGCGGGGGGCGCGGGGTCGCCGGGAAGTTCTGGGCGCGAGGGGCGTGGCCGTGGGAAAGCGCTCGGGGCCGCGGCAGCGGGTCGAGTTTCTCCCTGAAGTTCTCGCGGGGCAGCGGGCTGAGCACAGCTTTGGGCTGGGGTCGGGGGCAGACTCCGCGTGTCCCCGCCGCTGCCCCACTCGAGCTTGCGGCGGGGAGTGGGCGCTCGGCCTGCCCGGGGAGGCCCGGAGCGGCGGCTCCTCGAACACACACCTGCCACCAGGTTCGGAGGAGGGAACGGTTTTCTAGGAACTGCCCTGGACCTGGAGGCCCCCGCTGCTTCTGCTTCTGCTGTGCACTGGCCATGTGACCTTGAAAGTCTTTCCACTTTTGTTTTTTGAAAGGTCTGGGGTATGTGCCCGAGGTCGGCGGTGGCCCGGGTGCGCTCAGCATCCTCGAGCGGCGGGGGACGGGCAGACCGCACTGGATCCTCCCACGGCGCCCACTCGTGGAAGGGGCAGATGGCATGCTGGACACCGCACTGCTCCTGTGAGCCCCCTAGGCCCTGATCCACACGGATCTGGACGATGAATCTGTGAGTTCTGCTCTCGCCTAGAAAGTGTCGGAGATTTGATAGGACCGAAGTCAGAGATTTGCCTTAGAGGGGTGGTGCTGGTCATACCAGCCTGGGAAGCTGGAGGGCCAATTTTGGGGTCAGGAAACCCTTGAAAGCATTGTTTTAATGCCTTCGTGAATTTTTTCAATAAACAATTTTTTCTCATAAAGAAATACTCGTGCCTTACCAAACTTTGCGGGAGATGATCTAATTAGTAAGGTAACTTCCCAGAGACATGGGCTATTAACGTTTTGGCACGCTGCGTCAAAGTTTTTAAAACAGTGCTGTGATGAACAGCTTTCCTGAGGCATCCTTGGAACGGCTCTGAGCGTTTCCTGGGGGCCAGTCCCTAGCAGAGGCCAGTGGGCCAGACTATGCTGCATTTTGCCAAATGCCCTTCAGAAACGCGGGACCAGCCTGCCGTCCACCCACTGGTGAGCGGGCTGCAGGCTTGCCTGCCCTCTTGCCAGCCCTGAGGCATGCCATTGCTTTATGTCTCTGGCAATCTGAGGCGAAACAGCCCTTTTCATCACGTTAATCCTAATTTCTTTGACTGCTGGTGATGAACATCTTTTCATTTTATTATTGGCCATTTGGAATGTCGCCTGTCTGTGTTCTTTGCCCATTTTTAATTTTTCTGTTGGGCTGTGTGTCTTTTTCTTAGGGATTCCAGGAGCTTGTTACGGTAAAGAATTTAGCTCTCCTCTGTGCCATTTGCGACTCTGTACGAGAGTGTAAATGCAATGTATGGCCGGGCGCAGGGGCTCACACCTGTAATCCCAGCACTTTGGGAGGCTGAGATGGGTGGATCACCTGCGGTCAAGAGTTCCAGACCAGCCTGGCCACCATGGTGAAACCCCTTCTCTGCTAAAAAATACAAAAATGAGCCGGGTGTGATGGCACACAAATAGTAATCCCAGCTACTCTGGAGGCTTGCTTGAACCCGGGGGGTGAAGGGGCAGTGAGCAGAGATTGTGCCCTGGGCGTGCCCTGCACTCCCCTGGGCGACAGAACATGACTTTGTCTCAAAAAGTGTTTTGTGCCACAGCAGTGCAGTAGCACAGAGCATTATTCAGTAGTACAGTATACTCTTGTACATTGCATTTATTTTTCTGTCATTTTTCTTTTGGCTTTGGACTTTGTTTTTTTGTTTGTTCAGCCTTTTTTTGTTGTTTGTTTTTGCTTTGTTTTAAGAGAGAGTCTTACTCTGGGTACACCTAGGCTGGAGTGTCGTGATGTGATCACAGCTCACTGCAGCCTCGACCTCCCCAGGCTCATGAGATCCTTCCACCTCAGCCTCCGCGGTAGCTGGGACTACAGGTGCATGCCACCATGCCTGGCTAATTTTTGTTTTTTTGGGGGGCTTTGCCATGTTGCCCACGCTGGTGTTGAACTCCTGGACTTGAGGGATCCATCCTCCTTGGCTTCCCAAAGTGTTGGGATTACAGGTGTGAGCTACTACTGCGTCCGGCCTTTTTTTTTTATACTATGCACAGGGTTTAAAGTTCTTCTGTAGCTAAATGTATCAAGTTCTCTTTTGCGGTTTCTGGCTTTGGGGTGAGGCCTGGAATAGCTTTTGCCACTCTAAGATTTCATAATCATTCACTGATTCAATGCCTGCATTCCATAGTAAGAGAATGGAGGTATGGAGGGGTGGCCTAGGGCTTTCGGGGCTTCCTGGGCCAGAGTGTGTGGCATGTCATAAACAGTTTCTCAAAATGGGGAGTGCTGTTACTCTTTTTTTGAAGCTACTGACCTTCAGAGATGGTTGTTTGGTGCTTTTTATTAAACTTCTAGGAGGCCTCAACAGTGCCTTGTGACCTTCATCAGGGGAACAAGGAGATGCCCCCGTCATTGTCAGACTCTCCTGTTGTGAGCGGCGCTGGCCTTGGCCTTGGGACCACCCCGCCCCCCAAGTCAGGCTCCTCACTGTGCAGTCTGTGCCTCCTGGGGTCAGCACACGAGGTCACCTTTAGTA